TATATATATATATATATATATTGTACTATCCGTACTGCTAAGTTGAGCTCGAGCTTGGCATCATAGCGAAGATTGACATCGAATATGTATCGCATGACATTGGCCAAGACAAAGGCCCACTATCTGAACAGGTCATAATCGATCTCAGGCCCAAGGCCCAAATAAACCTTAATTCACACTAAGGTACTTGCATTACTTATACGAGATCTATACACTCACAAACTTTAACTTTAGCATCGGAGTCTCTTTTGCAGGTACCACACCCACCTTGGAACAACAAACGTATCCAGCAAAGGAGGCTCACCAATCTTGCCCAGAAGATCGTCCCCCACGACCGATCTCTGGTAAGAACATTTGGCGCCCACCATGGGGCCGATTGAGACATCTCTTTATCGGCCACGCTTATGGTTTTCACTCGAAGCCATAGTAGACGAGCAACTAACGAACCAGATCACCCAACAAGAATGGAAGGCGAAGCGACATTGAGGCGGCTGATCGAGCAGGTCGATCAAATGCGACAGCAACACGCCGTCGACCTAGAAAACATCCGTGCCAGGCACAAGTCTGACCTAGCGGCGCTGTGCGCTGAGAATGAGCGCATTCGCGCCCAGCTTCCTCGGCGCCTTTCTGATCAACCTCCTCAACCGAGCAATCAAAACGAGGAAGAGGGGCACTCAGTTTTCTAGCCACCGACTACACCCAGGGCACCGACCCACAGGTCTACTATACATCGATCACACGTACCAACGAATAGGTCAGACCATGAAGTCAGCAATGCATCTGCCCAGGCTCTAACGCATAGGGCGAGCATCCGCCGCCATCCTTTCGTTGACGACATCATGGAGAGGTCTCTTCCTTTCGGATGGAAGCCTCTCAACATCGACCGCTACGATGGCACCACCGACCCAGATGAGCACGTCGACCTGTACGTCACCCAAGTAAACCTATACACTAACGATGATGTTATTCTGTATAGGGTTTTTCCGACCTCGCTCAAGGGATCAGCACTCGCCTGGTACACTCAATTGCCAGCGGGATCGATCGATAACTTTGACACTCTGGTGAGACGATTCACGGAGTAGTATGCAATGAGTCGACCTCATCACATTACGTCCGCCACCTTGGCCAGTCTCAGAGAGAGAGCCACGACGAACCACTGAGGGCGTTCATGGAACGCTTTGCTAGCGTCTCGGTTAAAATCCGTAACCTAAACCCCGAGGTCGCCCTTCACACCATGCTCATGGCGCTCAAGCCAAGACCTTTCGTTAACAGCCTGTGTTGTCGACCTCCCCCAGATATTGACAAACTCCGTGCCCGAGCTGCAGGGTACATTCAGGTGGAAGAGCACACTACTTTTCGCGATCAGGTTCGTGGGAAACCTCAGGAAAGTCGAACCACGGCCACAAAGATAAGATGAAAGTCACCAACGATAGCCAATTCAAGAAGGCTGCTAGGGCAAACGAAGGAGGGAGGTATGACTTCTACACCCCCTGAATGCGCCCCGCGTACACATCCTGGAAGAGGCCAGCAACACCAATCTGCTCACTCTGCCACCACCTGGACACAGTCCCAACAGTGGGGACAAATCCAAACATTACCGATACCATAGAAACTATGGTCACACAACCGAGGAATGTCGCACACTCAGAGACCGCATTGAGGAACTCGTCCAAGGAGGGCACCTCGGACAATACGTCCAACAG